TTCTCATTTGGAAACCAGGCACCTCTACCTCAGGAAGAACAAAACCCTCTAACTAAAGAAATAAAAGAATTGAAACAAAGAATAACTGAGCATCTAGAACAGCACAAAAACAATAGAATAAGGCTACCTGCATTGAAGCTTGTTCCAAAGAAACAGCTAGCACAAGCATTAAAAGATGCAAATACTTGCAATATCAAGTATAAGCACCAATTCACTGCAAGAAACAAACCAACTAATGTACAGCACAGCTGCAGTTATAACAGAATACCTGGGATGCAAAATCAACAAAGAAGAAAAACAAACAAACAGTGCACCAGAAAAATGGAAGGTTAGACTAGAAAATAAGATCAGCAAGTTAAGATCACATGCAAGCAAGCTAGAACAGATGAAAGAAAAGAAGCTGAAGAACAAGAAGACCAAAGAATACCTAATCAAGAAATACCACTTAGAAACAAGGAAGATCAAGGAAGCACTGGAAATAATAAAGCAACAAATAACAGCTATAGCCAGGAAAATCAGTAGATATGAAGCTCGAATTGCAAACTATAGGCAGAACCTCCAATTTCAATCCAATCAGAAACGTTTCTACCAATCCATCAATGGAGAAACTGCAAGAATCAGTCAGTACCTGACAAGGAAGAAACAGTGCAGTTCTGGAAGCAGATATGGGATAACCCAAAGAAATACAACAAGGATGCGGCTTGGTTAAAAGAGGTGGATGCAAATAAAACAGAAGTTGAAATGAAAGAACTAGTAATAACAACAAAAATGGTAGAAAAAAGAGCAAAGAAAATCAAAAATTGGTCAGCACCAGGTGAAGATGAACTGCATGGGTTTTGGTTGAAACATCTAACTGTTATACACCCACTCATTGCCAAGCAGTTCAACAATATACTACAAGGAGGAGAAATTGAAAAGTGGCTAACAACTGGGAAAACCTACCTAATAATGAAAAATCCAGCAAAAGGGGCAACACCAGGTAACTACAGGCCAATTACCTGCTTACCAACAACTTTCAAATTACTAACTGGTGTGGTAGCTGATGCAGTACAACAGCATCTAGTTGAAAACAATCTCTTTCCACCTGAGCAGAAAGGAAACCGCCCCAATAGCAGAGGAACAAAAGATCAACTCCTAATAGACAAAATGATCTTGGAAAACTGCAAGAGAAGGAAGACCAACCTGAATGTTGGCATGGATTGACTACAAAAAGGCATTTGACTCTCTGCCACATGATTGGATAATAAGTGCCTAGAAATAACAGGAGTCAGTAGAAACATCAGAAAATTTGTGCAAAGATCGATGGCACAATGGAAGACACAGTTGCAGATCAATGGTGAGAGGCTGGGAGAGGTTAATATCAAGAGAGGAATATTTCAAGGAGATTCATTATCACCATTACTATTTGTTATTGCACTGTTTCCTCTGTCAACAATACTGAATAACTCAGGACATGGCTATCAAACATCAAAAACATCTGCCAGACTATCCCACCTCCTTTACATGGATGATCTGAAGCTGTATGGAAAAACATCATCTGAAATAGAATCGCTGCTCAACACTGTCCGTATATATAGCCAAGATATTGTAATGGAGTTTGGCTTGGACAAATGTGCCACACTTACTATCAAACAAGGAAAAATAGTGAAAACTGAAGGAATCAAGATGCCCCACGAAAATAACATTAAGAGTCTGGATGAGGAAGAATACTACAAATACTTGGGTATCCTTCAAGCTGACAACATCAAGCACACTGAAGTCAAGAAAAAGATTAGAGGTGAATACATCAAGAGAGTGAAGAAGATCTTAAAATCCAAACTCAATGGAGGAAATACCATAAAGGCAATCAACACCTGGGCAATCCCAGTCATTAGGTACACAGCTGGAATAGTGGACTGGACTCAAGCAGAACTAAAAGCAATGGATAGGCAGACCAGAAAAATAATGACAATGAATCATGCCCTTCATCCACGCAGTGACATTGATAGACTTTATCTACCAAGGCAAATAGGTGGGCGTGGAATGCTACAAGTACATCAGATGGTTGAAGAAGAAAAAATGGCTTTGGAAGAATATCTGAAGAACAATGATGAAGATGCACTGAAATTAGTATATCAGGAAGGCTTACTAACTACTGGAGAGACCAAACTGGCCTTCAAGAAAGACCAAATGAAGAACAGAATAGAGGCATGGGAAGACAAAGCACTACATGGCCAATACATGAAAAAAATAGCTGGGAAAGCAGATAACAATAAAACCTGGCAATGGCTAAGAGCAGGAAAATTGAAGAAAGAGACCGAGGGACTAATTCTGGCTGCACAAGACCAAGCCTTAAGGACAAATGCATACAAAGTCAAAATTGAGAAGACAGCAACAGACAGTAAGTGCCGCCTATGCAAAGAAGCTGAAGAAACAGTGGACCACTTGGTAAGCTGTTGCAAGAAGATTGCACAAACTGATTACAAGCAGCGGCATGACAAAGTAGCAACAATGGTGCATTGGAAGATCTGCAAAAAATATCATTTGCCTGTAAGCAAAAACTGGTGGGATCATAAAATAGAGAAAGTCATAGAAAATGATAAAATTAAACTGCTCTGGGACTTCAGAATTCAAACAGACAAGCACCTGCAACATAACACCCCAGACTTAACAATTGTCGATAAGAAAGACAAAAAAGTCTGGATAGTGGACGTGGCAGTGCCTGGAGATAGCAGAATAGAAGAGAAAGAACTGGAGAAGATAACAAAATACAAAGACCTACAAATAGAAATAGAAAGACTGTGGCAAAAGCAAGCAAGGGTAGTACCAATAGTCATAGGCTCCTTGGGTGCAATCCCAAAACAACTGGAGCACCACTTGAACACCATTGGCATTGACAAATTCGCTATTAGTCAATTGCAAAAGGCAGCCTTATTATGAACTGCTTCCATCCTGCGACGATATCTGTAATACCATCAAACATCCACATCTGCCTATCCCAGGTCCTGGGTAAGGACTCGATAGGTAGACAAAATGCCAAATCCAGTCTGAACATCTGGCTGACTGTGCGATGATCGATAATAATAATAAAGGTTGGAAGGGACCTTGGAGGTCATCTAGTCCAACCCTTGCTCAGGCAGGAAACCCTATACCATTTCGGACAAATAGCTGTCCAGTCTCTTCTTAAAAACCTCCAGTGTTGTAGCATTCACCATTTCTGGAGGCAGGTTGTTCCACTGGTTAATTATTCTAACTGTCAGGAAGTTTCTCCTTAGTTCTAGGTTGCTTCTCTCCTTGCTTAGTTTCCACCCATTACTCCTTGTCCTGCCTTCAGGCGCCTTGGAAAATAGCTTGACTCCCTCTTCTTTGTGACAGCCCTGAGATAGTGGAACACTGCTATCATGTCCCCCTTCGTCCTTCTCTTCATTAAACTAGACATACCCAATTCCAGCAGCCGTTCCTTATATGCTTTAGCCTCCAGTCCCCTAATCAACAATCAGGATGCTTGACAGGAAAAAAGGAAAGTATAATTGCAAGTACACCTAAAAGGATACAAGTAGATACAGAACATTTGTGTACTTGAACAGAATATTTAATGTAGATGGGGAAATGGATAGATAAATTTTAACCTACAAATGCTGGCTGAAATGTAGTGAATATGGTATTATATTGTGAAGAATAAATGTTTTGTTTAAAACTGTGCAAGAGGTATACATACACACACACACCCACACACACACACACACACATATATGGCTTGTCAATGTTATTATATTGAAGTATGTCAGGAAATAGTGTGAATATATATTTAAGAAGGGCATGTATGAAAGAAAAAGAGGTAGGATCAACAATGAATGAATGTTGATGGTTGATTAAATACAAAGGGGGCAGTACAAAATACATTAATATTATAGAGACAGAACAAAGTCAAATGTAATAGAAATATATGAAGAGTTAAAGGAGTGCAAAAAAAAGATAAACCAAGAATATGGTGGCTTGAGATACTTAAAAAGTGAATAGGTTTAAAAAATAACAAAAAAAAATGTATGAAACAGTATATGGACATAGAAGATTTATGAAGAATTATGACGTATGAAGAAAAGTGGTGGGGTAAATTATATGTAGTTATATTTCCTTTTTTAAATAACCTGCCTTTGGTTCCTTTGGTTTATTATTTCTTGCTTATTTTCTATGGTTTGCATAATGTTGCTCACCTAGAACGGGAATATTGTAATGAATATATAATACATAGTAGTAGCATTAATCACAATAAAACCATAAAATGATATTGTAAACAAATAAAAGCTCAACATAACATCTATTATATTTATCTAAAAACACATAATGAAACATTAATCTGACCTTCTGAGGCAGGAAAGGTCTGTAACTGAAGAACAGCATCAGAAAATGACTTGTATCAATTTCCAACCCAAGTAATACTGCTATCAAATTTGTGAGCAGAGAAAGCAGTATTTCCAATGTACATTGGGCAGAGGGGAGACTAGAATAGGATAATCTAGGCCAGTATTTCACAAATTTAGCAACTTTTCAGATTTGTTATCTGCAATTCCCAAAACTCCCTAGGCAGCGTGCCTGATCTAGGCCAATAGTAAACAGTACATCTAATCAAAGCTTAGTATATGTGAGTAAAATGTCTTATGGTTGTTTGATCAGCAAAAGATGTGATCATACACACACACACACACACACACACACACACATCCCTCACATATATGCACACACAGAAAAACAATCAAGCTTTTTTTATTATAAACCAGATCATCCTAACTACATTCTGTAAAGTATAATAATTCAGCAACAGTGCCACAGAATATGTTTGCCCTCTTACATTTAAATTATAAAAGATATAATAAAAAGATAGGATTCAGTCTCCATACTTGGCATCATAGCTGGTGAAGCCACCAATACAAGTATCACCTTCTTCTATTTTACAGGAAAAAATGTTAAGTGAAATAGTTTGCATCTTCATAATATTTTACAACTACTGAAGATGTACTTACCCAATCTGCCGATTTGTTGAAGGTGCTTGTGTTATGACTGAACTTGATTGTGGTGACGGCATGGCTTGTTGAATCACAATGCTGGTGTCATGATTTGGCATCCTGGGATTAGAGAGCTGGTGCACCCCCGCTTCTGTCATAGCATCTCCCACACTATTATGCATTGGAATATTCTGTGAAAAGGGGAGGGGAGAGAGAAAGACAGAGAGAGCAAATTAGACGCTAGCATTTGTTTAGATTTTTCTTATATCTAAAACTACATATTGGCCAACAACGTATATTTAAAACATGTTATTGGCCAACAATGTTTCAACTGATCTCACTCTAACCAGCTCTAAAGAAGTGACAATACACTGCTTTTACAGTGTAAAATACTGAAACTGAAAATAGCTAATATATAGGAATGAGAATACCATCCTGAGTCATAATTTCTAATGCAGACATTTTGCACCTAACCATTTGCTTGTGTTCAGCAGATATTTCATTCAAAAATGATTTCCCAAAGTTGGTGTAAGATAGCTTGATTTACAGCAATATTCCTCTTGATACTATGTTTATTGCATCATTGTGCAACAGAAACATATTTGATTCAGTTTTTTGCTGTTTTACCATTGTGCTATCAGTAATATTTACTAATGAATAAGCATAAACTTTAGATATAATGCAATCTTGGCTCAGAGGAAGTTCAGAGAAAGAAGAGATAGTTTTGAATATTTCTAGTTTAAGGCTAGCAAAAGGAACAATCTTAAAGGATAAGATTTGAGATGAATAAGATACTTGTCCGCATATAAAAATTTTAAAGACATAAAATTGTATCCCATAGGTGTGTATTGCTAACTGTGCAATCATGTGCTAAATGAATAAGAAATATGTGAACAAAGCTAGTAATTACTTTTAGTACAGCTCAGTTAATCAATACAGCCAAAAATTGGGGGGTGGGAATAGGGATTAGAGAACACAGTTTACAACAATAGTAAGAAGCACATGTGCAACTTAATGGTAGTTATCAAATGTGTGACATATTTAGGATTATTCTTTATCAGAAGTATTTTCATACAATTTTATGTTTTGTTTTCTGTTCCACTGAAATATTCCAATAAATTATAATACTTTGATGCACAAAAAAAACCTTTAATATTTGTGATTTATATAAATGAGCTTGTTTTTTTGCAGATGTTTCATTACCAAACTAAGTAACAACATCAGTGCTAGAAAGACATGGAATTGCTCTCTTTATGTACTAGTGGCGTGCCCAGTCAGTATTGGTGGTTCCTTGTTTAGGGTGTTGTTTACTGTTAACTTGTTTGTCTGAGTTGGTAGTTCCTTGATTGGGGTATTGTTTAGTTCTTGATATTGGTCTATCATGGTGATAACCTCTGCTAATCTGGGTATTAATTGTTGGTGAAGAGGTGTTTGGTCCTTTTTGTTTTATTTTTTATAGGATTTGTTTGATTAGGTTAAGCTGGATTAAGTCTATCAGTCTTGAATAATTTTAAATTTTAATCTGTATAGTTTTAATATTTTAATATATTTTAATTATTTTTTTATTTGTTTTACAATCTGTGAGCTTCCCAGAATCATCTTATAGGAGAGATGGGTGGCATAAAATTAATAATAATAATAATAATAATAATAATAATAATAATAATAATAATAATAATAATAATGCATATAAAGTCAAAATTGAGAAGACAGCAACAGACAGTAAGTGCCGCCTATGCAAAGAAGCTGAAGAAACAGTGGACCACCTGGTAAGCTGTTGCAAGAAGATTGCACAGACTGACTACAAGCAGCGGCATGACAAAGTAGCAACAATGGTGCATTGGAAGATCTGCAAAAAATATCATTTGCCTGTAGGCAAAAACTGGTGGGATCATAAAATAGAGAAAGTCATAGAAAATGATAAAATTAAACTGCTCTGGGACTTCAGAATTCAAACAGACAAGCGCCTGCAACATAACACCCCAGACTTAACAATTGTCGATAAGAAAGACAAAAAACTCTGGATAGTGGACGTGGCAGTGCCTGGAGACAGCAGAATAGATGAGAAAGAACTGGAGAAGATAACAAAATACAAAGACCTACAAATAGAAATAGAAAGACTGTGGCAAAAGCAAGCAAGGGTAGTAGCAATAGTCATAGGCTCCTTGGGTGCACTCCCAAAACACCTGGAGCACCACTTGAACACCATTGGCATTGACAAATTCGCTATTAGTCAATTGCAAAAGGCAGCCTTACTAGGAACTGCTTCCATCCTGTGATGATACCTGTAATACAGTGGTTCTCAACCTTTTTAATGCCACGACCCCCAACCAGTTGTAAGTCAAGGACTACTCAACCGGTCGTAACTCAAGGACTACTCAACTGGTGCAGCACCGTTTGCAGAATGGGACTTTTGGTGGGCTCAGCAGGGCAGAGACAGCCTGGACAATTCTTATTGGCTTTTGAAAGCCAATAGAATTAGACTCTATTCAAGAGAGAATAGAATAAAAGGGAGTAGCACAGCTAAGGAAAAGGGGGAAAAAATGGCGGACTGCGTTGTTTGCCGACCCCCGTGAAATGGTTGTTTGACCCCAAATGGGGTCCCGACCCACAGGTTGAGAACCACTGCTGTAATACCATCAAACATCCACATCTGCCTATCCCAGGTCCTGGGTAAGGACTCGATAGGTAGACAAAATGCCAAATCCAGTCTGAACATCTGGCTGACTGTGCGATGATCGATAATAATAAATATATGCACATGTTGCCTTAATCTCACACCCAACTATCTCTTAAATATTTGAGAGAGAGAGAGAGAGGGAGAGGGAGAGGGGGAGAGAGAGAGAGAGAGAGAGAGAGAGAGAGAGAGAGAGAGAGAGAGAGAGAGAATATGCTATTACTGATTTTACAGTTGCATCTTTAGGAGGTCACAGGTTCCCTTGCTTCCATGAGATCTTTTCAGATTGGGAAATGTGGGAAACCAAAGAAGCTTCAGGATAGAGAGCTACGCAACAGAACGCCTACAGAACCCTACAGTAACTTAAATCAAAAAATAAATTCAAAAAACATTTCTCAAGGATCCTGAAAATAACTTATAAGAAAAGAAGTCACTTGCTCAAACAATGATAAAAATTAAGAGAGATTTTGGCACAATGGTAAGATAAATATTTCTAATTAAATTGTTTCTATAAATCATAACTATATTATTGGCTGAAGATGACTGGGCTGAATCTTGGTCTTTTATTATTTTGATCTTTTTTTATATTCTGGCAAAACCATCTTAATGTTCTGCAGAATATGGGCAAATCCTATTGAAACAGGAGTATATTTCACTTGTTGAAGACATTCTCTCACTAATTGAACCAAATTTCCGTTCTATTGTTGCTTGTGTTATATTCCAGGAAAGTATCAGCATTTCTGAGAGAGGTTCAATATCCTTAGTACACTCTGAGCTAGCTTGTTTTGTTGCAGACGTTTCACTACCCAAACTACATAACTAGCACTAAGTGACTAGCATCAGGTTGGATAATGAAATGTCTACAAGAACACTGCTAAGTTCTGAGAGCACCTCTGAGCTACAAATATTCTCAACATCTTTTCACCAGACTGTTCTCAGAATTGCAGGGGAGGAGAAAAATCAGAGCTAAACTACTACTTTATTAACAGATTTACTGATAATATATTTAAAGAATTTAAATTTAAAGGATTAAACCCTGATTGGCCCTGTATTATAACTCACAAAGGAAAGGAACAATTTATATCTAGGAATAGTAGTTAAACATCTGGCCTGACTAAACAAGATCTGATGCTGGGCCCAGAAAAATTTCTGCATGTTTCTTTTAATTTTACAAAAGAGGAAAATCTGTTCTAGAAATTATTTCAAAGAAAAATTTTGTAAAGCCATCACAGCGCTCTTGCACTTGTTTCATTGCAAAATGGCCAAGAAATATGTGCAAGTGCAAGACATTTCTCATATAAATGTCTCTTGAAGAGTTAGGCATCCTGCTTTCATTCAGCTTTTTCAGTGGCAGTGCCATTACTAGCCCTTGAGCAAATGTTGGAAATGTTTTTTCTCTGGGAAAATTTATCCATCCAATTTCTTGGCTTGCAGGTTTGATTGAGAATTCAAAAAAGTTGTTGTGCTCAGTTCTGCAGATATCTGACCATTCTGAAAAGTATGATCAGCTTTTACTACTCCGATTAAGAGACTAATGTGAATACTTTCATGGAACACATCATTATGGAAACTGCATCTGATAAAAGCACCATTGCCAGAGTTCTAATACCCAAACTCTAGCAGTTGAATTTGACAAAACTCAAAAAAATTTCTATTTTTTTAGCCATCTCTGCTACATACATACTACCAATTCTCAGGATTGAACTTCAATACCAGTATTATAAATCCTAATGCAATCATGCTTTGTTTTATTTTAGTGATAAAACAGTGATATTTTGCTCTGCCATAATCATGAACAATATACAAACAGAGAGTTTCTAAGCTTCCTTTTTACTTTCATCTTGCAGACTCAAAAATAAAATCCCAAACAATAGTCTTCTAGTAACTTAGTCGTAACTGGGGAACCTTCTTATTTTCTTCCCAAAGAGAAGTTCATCATGCAACAACCAACATTACTTGATCATTCTATAAATATTGTTATTTTATGTCTTTATGGTGCCCAGATTCACATTCTGTGAGATAGCTGATTTTAAAATAAATAAATGTAGCACAATCTGAATAGCAAAAACTATGCCATGATCTCATAAAAAAAGATGTTTGTATTTCTAGTCTCATTATAGTTTGCATTTGACTTTTGGTCCAGTACAAAAGGAAGCAAACTGTGACTCTGAATACCATATAGGCCTTGGATCACTTAGAAAACACACTATTGAATTGAGACAGCAGAATAGCTCATTTTAAATAGTGGATTATCTTGCACCTTTCCAACTCCAAGAATAAAATGGGAATTGAAGTTTTTAGCCTCTATAAATAAATATATTCATTTCTGCCCATAGCTTTTCCAACTCCAAAAAAAGTTCATGATGTCAAAAAATGTATCCTTTATAAAAGCCCTTGCACAAGTTTCTCTCTCTACCCTTCCCCCCTCTTTGTGTGTCTGTGTGGGTCTCTACCTATGTGTGTGTCTGTGTGTCTCTGTGTGTGTAACAGCTAGTAATGACATACCAATAGAAG